ACAGGCCAGAATGCTTTTCTTGATCCTCAGCCTTCTAAAATTATGCATAGTGGGTTTCTTTCATGGAAAGACTTAAAGCATATGTGGAAAGATGCAAGGCTAAGTGACAGCCCCAAGGATGCCTATCTTTTGGTCTTCACATTTACATTATACCAGGGTTGTATCTTGTTTCTACAGTGGTATATGGAAGGCTTTGTGGTATTCGACTTTCAAGGTTAAGTCATAAAACACACCTATGAGATCTATCATCTTTGTCAGCCTTCCCTTGCTTTTTCTACTTATCCCTTTACCCCCACCTCTTCTCCCTTTCTCTCACCAATCACTCTGGAGAAATCAGTTGCCATGTTGTGCAAATAACCCTTCAAAGGCCATACATGGTGACAAATTGAGGCATCTGTCACCAGCCCTGTGAGTGTGCTTGGAAATAGAATTTTGAACCCCTTCTGATGATTGCATCCTTGTCAACAAGGGTATATATTGAGATTCTCTGAGTGAAGCCACCCAATTCAGCTGCTTCTGGATTCCTCACCAGAAACTTTGGGTTTAGTTTTTAAGAATTAATAAGATTTTGTAAAAAAAAAAAATCACAAAGGCAAACTAGAGGGTAATAAAAGGTAAAATACAGAGTTTTCATCAAGTTTCAGAAGACAACATAGAAAATACTACCAATTTTACAAAGCTCAAACATCAAGAAAAACAATAATTCTTTGAAGCATACATATTTGATAAAATCTCAAATATAAAAGCAAAGGAATGAGAAATTCAAATGTGAGATTAATGGTTATCTGTGGAGTGAATGAGGAAGCCAAAATTATGGGACAAGACAAAGAAACAGGTAGATTCTGCAGTGATGCTGACTGAATATCTGAGCAGGCTTATAGGACTACACATGATAGAAATCCAACGATTTTTAGGTATGAAATACTATATAGTCACTTTTAATATTCAGCGTATGTCAGAAGAGGAAACAGCATATGCAAATGCATGGAGGGGTGAAAGAGCTTGGAATAAAATATAGACATCATTATGACAAGGAAATGATAAATAATGCATTATCTTTCATAATACACATCTCAGTATTCTGAAATTACATTGGAGTATACAAAGGAAAGGAGATTAGAGATACAATTAAGAGCCACAAATTCAAAACTCAAAATCTTGCAAAAGAAGCAAGTACTATTTCTGTACAAATAACCAAGAGGCTGATTTCTTTTTGTTGCTTGCATGGTGATAAGATCGAGGCATATTAGGATTGAGAATCTCAAATAGTGTGAATTAATGATAAGTTGCAGAAGTAGTTATTATTTTCATCGCTAAGAAAGAGGTCTGGTGCATTTTAATTGTCTAAAACTCATCATGTGCCAACAACTTTTGTTCCTAGTAGAATTCAAATCATAGGGCGGTACTTTATTTAACAACTTACCCTTTTAAACTATTGTAAATCTGTGAGTAATGTTTAATTACATTATTGCCAATCATTTGAAGCATGGTAATTACTTGGAGCTCTTGGCCAGCGTTTCTGATTAAAAGTGCTGTGGCATTCTCCATAGGTCATAAGGTCATATCCTGATCCTACTCACTTTCTCGTAAAGCCTTACTTTATTCCTGAGACAAGGAATGACTCCACCCATTAGAAATGGTGATTAGGAAATACTTGAATCATTTGATGAGAACAGATATGTGGCATGAAATGACTTTGGCTCTTATGACCTGATTGCTCTTAGGTCTGTTTTATTTTTGTCTTTTTGTATTCCTCTTATTATCCAAGAAAAAAAACCTATGACCAAGAGATTATTTTCCTGTGAAAGATCTGATGATATGAAATACCTTTAATGATTCAGCTGGGCTCCTAGCCAAGAGTTTAGTGGGTGACTGAAAGCACTATTTGTCTGCCAAAGTTGAGAGTTAGTTCCTAAGTGTTTATCTAGGAACTGTGCTCAGGGTATTTTCTTTTCTAATGAGGGGACCTGACCTGAGACACATGGAGGAAGCGTTGAAGGTTGAACTTTTTTTTTCTTTTGAAGAAAAAACAGTATCTCATGCAAGGTCACAATCGGACTTTTCTGACCAAGAAGTTGTATCTGTTTTCCTAAAGGAAGGCTCTGCGACTCTAAGGCTATATTCAAAACAAGACCTTTTCGCTAAGCTCTAATGTGACCAGCTGTTCATGGTAAAACTCAATGCTGACTTTTGGAGTTTCTGCTCTAGGTTCAATGTTTGATCTTCATTGGTCTTTTGTCAGCTTTGATAGATCTTTGTTTTGCTAAAGATCTGCTCTTGGTAAGACTTTCCTTTCCCTCTCAGCCCAAGGGAAATACAATCCAGTTAGTTTACCTATATTCTCCAAGCGAGGCATGCTCAGAAACTGTCCAAACGCTTACACCATCTTCTTCAGACTTAGCATAACATTTGGGGTGGCAGTCAGATTCATTCTGAAGGCATTGGCTAAGTATCACATTTGCTGTTTAAATGTATCTGTAATTGGAAATCAAAGAAGTTACTCATTTTAGAGCTGGTTTTACAAATTCTACATCTGACAATTGCTGTAGTGTCTGTTCTTCTCCATCTTCCTCTCACCTATGACTATCCTGAGACAAAAGCCTTAGAAATCTTCTCCCTAAATTGCATAATTGCAAACATATTCATCATGCAGTTTTCATTTTTCTGTATGAAGAACTGTCTCCTGTTCTTATTCCTCCTCCTATGACTAGAATACTTCCTAGATGGTCCTCAATAGCCATCTTTCACTTGTTTTCCACTCCAAATATTGATTTTTAAAACCCCTTTCCCATATCCCTCTTTCTTAACCCTGAATTCCTGTGTCTTGATTTTCTGTTGTCTGACTTTCTGGCCATCTTTTTCTCACTTCTCATTCCCTGCTACCATTATAACACCCATTCAGACATGGTGAATGAAATCAAACTCATTGTGCATTACCCAGAAATGTCAGTATCCTATGTTTTCTTTTTTATGACCTGAAAACAAAAGTCTCTGCTTCCATTTGTTCAACAGTTAGTGATGGACCATGCTGGGCACTTTAGTTCCTTGTCACAAGCCACAAAAGAGTATTGACCTTCTCAGTCTTCTCTCATTTCCATGTTTTCCTCTTCCAAATCCATGCATGATTGTTGGGGGGGGCGGTGCACCAAAACTTGTTCTCTACTCCTCAAATTCAGATTGGCCCACCATCCCTGGAAAGTTATCTATTCAATCAAATTCACTTAGTCATATAACATAGGCCAGGCAACACTTTCAGAATTGAGGACTCTGAGATACTGAACTTCACTTTCAGTCATCAAAGCATTCAAAATGTACTGAGCGAAGTTTGCCAGCAGATAATGAAAATAAAATGCAACTGTTATGACAGGTACACAGATGTACTTTGGGAACGTGATGGAGAGAGAACATGAAAATGCTCCCCCTTAGAAGAACATGTCATAGAGAATGCAGCATTTGAACAATCATGGCAAGTCTGACAGGAGGTTCATACAGTATACTAGGGAGGGAAAAGCAATTCTAGAAAGACAATTTGTACATACACCCTAATGATTGAACAAGCATGTATTTCTATGACTGGGAAGAAGTTCATACAAGGAAAAAGATGGAGTGGGAGACTTCTCTTTGAACATTCTTGGTTAACTTGATGAGCAATTTGGGATTATTTTATAGGTTGTGGGAAAATGACAGAAATTTAAGCAAACACAGATATGAGAAGTTATCTTTTCTATCACCATACATTTTCCCTACTGTCACCCTATTTTCTTCTTAAGCCATGCTCTTTAATTCATTTTAACACACTCTTAAGGTAATAATAATCTCCTATACTTGGTATAATACCTAATTCGTTTATTCCCCTTACAACTGTCTATGTCAGGCACCACAGGAAGCACAGGATACCCCTTACCTTATGGCCTCCGATTTCCATATCACTTGAGAATTGTTATTTTTGCTTTCATTTCCTTCCCTCCCCATCTTCCTATTCTAGTCACACCAGAGTAATTCCAAGTCATCCATCATCAAAATCCCTTTGATGATGATCAGCTTCTCTTGAGCACATTTCCTTTAGGTTCCTTGTGCAACTCAAATTAGGCTCTCCCTGGGTTATATTCTTCACCTTACATTATTATGAACTGTTTTCACCTCCATATTCCTTCTACCAAAACTGCTAGAATCTGATCTTTTCCTTTTTAATTATACATCCATATCATTCTTCCTTGTCCTCCCATAAATTGCCAGATTTTCATGATTTGTGCTAGATTTTCCTATCCAGTCATTGTTATACTTTATTAACCCTCAGATCACCCCTCCCCCAACATTAATGTTTTTTATCTCCTATATCAACCCCCTTTCTTTAATTTAATATTTGGTGGCTTCAAGATCATGTAGTCAATTTTTTTCCAGTGTTCTGGCCTCTTACTTATTATATCTCCTCTCCAATGACTTAATATTCTACCTTAATTCAAAAGCTTCCTCCTATAGCTATTCTCTTGACATTATTTATAATTCTCAGTTACAAATATCCATTATGATTACCACTGTGCAGCTTTTTAGGTCATGCCCAAGAATATCACCACTCAAATTGCTTTGATTAACTCAAAATTTGAGTTGATCTTCAATTATTTCATTATCTTATTATTTTCCTTTCTCATTCCATGGCATTACCATCTTTTTCCTTACAGGACACAAAAACCAGAATGAGTGAAAAATAAGTACCTACTTAATATCATAGTTTCTTTGTCTGTCTTGCTACTTTCCATAACCAATGGGTAATACCAAAGCTCAGGTGAAATCACATCTAATATCTCAGTATCTGTATAAACATAGTCAAATGAGGCAGAACTAGAAAAATGCAGCCATGTAGTGAATTGATTTCACTTTAAATTCATGATCATGATTGCTTCCTGGAAATCATTAAGTATTTTCCTATATTTTCTAGTCAATTCTCCTTACAGCTACCCTATATAAATATTTCATACTTCTCTTACCTTTTTCCTTCACAGTGTTCTCTCAGTTAGTAAGTTTTTTACTATTTCAATAAGCAGATTAAAGAATTCACATGATTTACCACCTCTACTTATACCAACCTACTCAAAGCTTTCTTACATGCTACCCTTTCTTCTGTCCCCAGAGCTGATCTGTGTGTGCTTCTAACTGAGGCCAACACATGTGTTTTATCCTAAGCATGTTTATCTGTCCTAACTTTATACTTTTAGTCTACAGTTGCCCGAGTTCCTTTGGCATATATCCAATTGGACTTGACAGTTAATTAATTAATTATTGAGCATTTAAAAATAATCTCTGAATTTGCACTAAAAAAACAGAGCTTCTGATAACACTCTACCTCTCCACTCCCCATCATGTTGCTACACACACACACACACACACACACACAGACACACACACACACACAGAGTCTTTCCTAGAGTGGTTTTCTCCACATTAGTGGTTGCAATTTAATTCTTTCAGTTGGCTGGGCCAAAAGCTTGGTCTTGGTGTTATCTTTGACCTTATTCTTTTCTCACACCTAGCACCATATATATACATACACACACACACATATATATATATATATATGTATATATATATATATGTATATATATATATATATATGTATATATATGAAACTCATGACTCTCCCTTCAATGTATCAAGAGTCGTACAATGCTGTCTGTTTCCAGTGCTGCCACATTGATCCAGGCCCACAGCGCTTTTGTCTGAATTATTTCAGCAACTCCAGATCTTGATCATACTGCTTTCCTTGGCCCTTGCTGTTGATTATCTCAAGAGTAATTACTAATGAGCCTATGAAAATGAAAGTTAGATGCTGCTGCTTGCCTCCTCAAAAAGTTTCAGTGGTTCCTAGTTTAGAAGCCAAACTCTGAGTATTATATGAAATACCACACATGCTCTAGCCCAGATTTCTACTCTGACCTCAACATCTGTATTATTTGTTGGTCCTTATCACTGTGTAGTATACTGCATACTTCACTTTTCTACCTTCTTTCCTTCCAGTCTCCCCTGATAGGATTTGAACGCTAAGAAGGCAGAGTTTTTGTTTGTTTACTATTATATTTTCAATTCTAGTTATGTGCCTAACACACAGTAGCCCTACAAGAAATGGTTGTGGAATGGAATGGATGAATAATTTAATGAATGAAATTTATTTTCACATGTCTACATTACTTAATCTGCTATGCACACTAATAGCCATGTGATTTACTTTAGTAATTAAAACTTATCTCTGGAATCAGACTGAGAGAAGTGTGAATACAACTCTGCCTTATTATATAACCTTGCAGAATTTACATAATGTCTCCAGGCCTTGTTTTCTCATTTTAAAAATGGAGCTAAGAAGAGTAACTGAGTGACTCACAGGATCATTACACAAATTAAATGAGAAAATGCAGGTAAAATATTTACAATGCCAAAATCATGGTTAGTAAGCTTTCAGTAGATTATATGTAATTACTGTAGTTAATATATCTAATTTTCTGCATCTTTTGGTGTCTTGGTTTTCATTAACATTATAAAAAGAGAAGAGAAGATTTTGGAGGCTGAAAATGGTGATTTCTTTTTTTTTTTAATCTTGAATATGTTTCATACCAGTAGTTAATTAATTGTTCTTTGAGAGTCAGTAATTCCCTAGAAATGTTTCAGTGGTTCAATTTCAGTGTGCTAATGTCTATAAAGGGCCAGGCCCATGATCTCATCCATTTCTCTATGACAGATTACTCCAGAGTGGAAAAAATGTTGGTTATTTACCTGGCTCTGTGCTTAAAAATTAGAGCTCTGTAGGGAATTACCAAAGTGAATTATAAATATAGTTGAAAAGGAGTTTTCTTTAAAAGGATATTCATTTGAAATTATTTGCATTTGTGGCAAGTAATCCAAGTAATCATCAGCGATCATGTTAACTTTCCACTTCGGGATGTAACAGTCCTACTCCATCCTCGCGTGTTCCAACTGAAGTTTCAGAATTCACAAGTATGGCTGTGGGACCATCTTCTTCATAGTATGTTTGGTGAGGATAATCCAGGAGACAAGACACAGAGGACATCAGCAGGGGTTTAACTGCATTAAGCCACATTAGGTATCTGCAGAATTTTCAGTAATTCTGTGCAAGTTTACAGTAAGAATTTTCGAGGGGACACAACAATTTTGAGATCAATATATTTTGTTAAGATCATATATAGTTGATGAGAGTTGGTATTTATACAAGTAGAACTGGAATTCCAGTTAGTAGGACTCCTAAAAGGTAGCTTTTTGTTTTAGTCTTTTGCATTTCTGTAGTCTCTGTATGTGTGGCTAGTGACAAGATAAAGCCTTGGTCTCATAGTCAGAATGACTTGATTCCCAGTTGCAACTGTATAAATATTAGGATCTGCTGTTCGAAACATGCACATCCTCTGTGCCTAATTTACTCATCTGTATAAAAGTATTGGTTATATCTTCCCTATGTTTTTTACAGAGTTGATAGAATTATGTTATATGTAAATAATAATTCCTATTGTGTTACATGTGAAGGTTATAAAAGTTAGATATTATGAGCCATGTACTTTATAATTGGAAGGATATTTTAAAAGCAGTACAGTAGTATCAGTTTCTAATCCTGCTGCCTTTTCTTCAACTTTTATTTGTTCTTCCATTCCATTTTCTAAAATTTTATGATTTCATCATCACCACCTTTTTAAATAACCAGGATAAAGGATATTGAATTTTGACAGCAGGAATACCATGCTAAAATCATCCAGATGAAGTACAGAATTCATTTTATTTTTCTTGGTGACATCTTGATAACACTAAATTGCGCTAGTCAGTTCCTTGCTTGGATATTGCTAACTTCTGTTCTTGTCATTTGCACAGGAAATGACTTATTTCTCGTAGCAGTTCATGAGCTGGGACACGCTTTGGGACTGGAACATTCCAATGACCCCACTGCCATCATGGCTCCATTTTACCAGTATATGGAAACAGACAACTTCAAACTTCCTAATGATGATTTGCAGGGCATTCAGAAGATATATGGTAGGTTGCCATTGTTTCTGTCTGGTCAATCCTACAATAAAATCTAGAATTCTTGGTCTGCTTTCTCCTGTGAGATAGATGCTCTAAATATGTGATGCAGAAAAAACCTGAAGAAAAATATCTGGGCTACTGGAAAAATTCTATCAATTCAGTTTTGTTGCCAACAATCTCAGAGATCTTAGTGTATAGATTATGGGAAGGTCTTAAGCACTGATGCAATTTTCGTTTTGAATTTAGTTGATACTTGGAATTATATTAAAGATGTAATAAACTTTCATATTTAAAACTCAAGTCAAAATATATAATAAATGAAAATAATCAGTAATGAAAATAATAAAAGCAGTTAGGGATGTAACACTTTCTTATAAGATACTGAGACTTTTGGTAACAGATTGGCTCAAAATTTCTGAGATTTGATGTTAGATAGTTCCTGAACAGAGCATTTTTGAAAGTCAAAAAAGTACTTTTTCTACTTTCTATGTAATATTTTGTACTATCTATATAATAGATATAACAAAATGACTTCAAAGACATATAATTACCAATGCAGAGTGAAAGTTAACCAGCCAGGGAGTAAAAGTTAATAAATGTGTACATTTATTAACACAGTCCAAAATAAATTTTAATATAGTAATATCATTTTTATTTGTGAGATTCACATAGTAAATCCAAAGTAAAGTGAGGAAGACTATTCTGCATATTTACTAAATCTTATTTCCTTCAATATCACCACTGACCTTTATAAAGACATTTATTTCACACATAATTGTTAAGAACTTGACATTTATAATTTACATATAACAAGCGTGCTTTACTAAGTTAATGAAGTGAAGCTTTCATTTTTACATTATAAAGACAAATGTGTGCTATCTGTATGTTAATATTGAGTATCCAGAAGATATAATTTGGATTTTTAAACAATATAATTCAAGTTCACTAATTTGTTTTGCATTCATTAGTTTCTCAATTTTACTATTCGAGTCAGCATTATCTGAGGGTTCAAATAGATTTGAAAAAAAGGCCAAATTCTGTGCTGCTTTTTATTTTGTTGGGGCATTGAGAAAAAAGACATGTAGAACTGAACACTAAATAACTCCGATGTTGAATTGAGCTATCCTACACCTACGTGTGTGTCATCAGAAATTCCTCTTGCATGGCTGACTGAAAGAAATCTCTTTCTCATGACGTTATGAATTAGTAGTCTAGACTAAAGGTCTACAAAAGAATATTTTTCCAGTATCTGAATATTGCGAATAGCTCTGTATTTGTTTTTGAAAACCTAAATTTCTTGAGGAATGATGCTTAACATCTGTACCAAATTACACGTATAAAATTTGGCTTGATTTAGAAGCCTTATTTTGGAAATACTTCTCCACATTAAATACTGGTGGTATTTTTAATCAATTGGTATTTTAGATTCGATATGTAAATAAAGCATGCATCTGGCAATTTCTCCTACATTTCATTAGAAGAAAATAGTGACACAGTAAAAGATTAGAAAAGATAGTTGGAGAGAGAATGTAGTATAAACTTTGATGAGAGATTATTTTTCAGAGATTTATAGAAAAACATTTTCTGTCAAAATCCAGCATTACCTTTGGTGAAATTTACTCCAAAACTCATTTTCATTTCTTTATTATTTATGTACCACCCACTTCCGACAAAATATTTGATAGCAGATTTCCTATAAGGACTATGGAGAAGCTATTTTAAAATGAACAGAGAAAACCTAGTTACTTGGTTTCAGAATCTAGCATGATAAGTAGAATCTTGCATACACTTGGCAGTGGTTTGGTGGTGAGTAAGATGGCTCGTTTTTTTCAAAAAATAAAGGATCTTAAAGACCTTTTCGCTTGCTTAGTTTGTGGCCTCTGCTAAGTGATTGTTCTCTGTAGCATATTTTCCAGTTCTTTTCCAGTTTTAGCTGAGCCAAGCGCTGTCCTCATGTTTTCAAAAGGTCCACCTGACAAGATCCCTCCGCCTACAAGACCTCTACCGACAGTGCCCCCACATCGCTCCATTCCTCCAGTGGACCCAAGGAGAAATGACAGGCCGAAGCCTCCTCGGCCTCCCACTGGCAGACCTTCCTATCCTGGAGCCAAGCCCAACATCTGTGATGGCAACTTTAACACTCTAGCTATTCTTCGCCGTGAGATGTTTGTTTTCAAGGTAGGAGGCTGTGATTTTTTTTTTTTTTTTAATGGTAGATCAAATGTCTAGCCACTTTAGAAAACAAGTTCTCATTCATTCTAACATTATGTTCCCAAGGCTCTCACAGAAGGTTCAAAAAAGCATCCTAAAAACTAGATGCACAAATGGGCTTAAATGTCTAGCAGAAGATTGCTGTAATATTCTATTTGGGGAATGCATTTATGTCAGCAGAAGCTAAAATGCCTAGAAATGTGAGGGTGAGAAAAATGCTGCATGTTATGAAGAGATAAAATAGCATAATTTAAATCATGAATAGGAACTAATAAGGATGATTTGCTTGGGAGCTTAGTCGCTTCCAGACACGCTGCAGCTATTGTATCTTTAGTTTACACACATTTATGTGATCCTTAGAATTTCATTTAATAATTATTGCATCATTTTTTTAGAGTTATTTTGTTTGGGATCTACTGGTAGTCATTTGAGTTAGATCTCCTCTATGAGACTATAATTTTGATTTCAAATAAAATAAATAAATATATTTATTTTTTTTAATATATTTATATATATTTATATATATTTATATATATATATGTTGTTTTATTTAGTTAGGCATTTATATCTACCTAATTTACATTATTGGTTACCAGCTAAAATTAATTCTACATTTGCTAAATGTATTTCTTAATATCATTGGATTTTCGGACAACACTATATCAAATATACATTATATGATGTTGAAAGGTGAATAGACTGTAATAGTAAAAATTAGTTTTCTCCCCCAATATTTGTAAACTGACTTAAAAATTAAGGAAGAATATAAATTTGCATTCTGGCATTAGAATATTAAAATAGGCACATTTTATGATTATTGTCCACTCAGAGTAAAATAATGTGCTTTCATTTTTGGTGGACATGAATCAATACATAATGAAATATTGTCCTACTCATACAAAATTTCCTGTCTACCAAAGCAGTACTTTAAAAATATTGATTTCATATAATTAATTTTAAGTAAGCAAAGTACTCTATTACCTTTATGGAAATGTAACATCTGGGTTTAATATAGTATGCACAAGGCCACTGTGATTTCCATAAAAAATCAATGAATTTCTTCAAACACATGAATAGATTTTTTAATCCTATAGATGCCCTGAAATGCTTAGATATAACCATTCAATTTCAAGTAGGCTAATAAATTCAAATTTAGAGTAAAGAAAAAAATACACATATCAGTTAATACATAAATCCTCAATGTAGTTAAGTCCAAAGCACCTTTTTTAAATGAAAATGAGTAAATTCCTTGTTTATTCTGCAAGGCACTAGATGAACATTGATTAAATTGTTTTGGCTGAAAATTTCTAAATTGCAGCTTTATACCTGAACAACATAGCAGCATGGTAAAAACCACTGAAGTGTCAAGTTTATCTAAGATTATGATGTGAATCTGACTCTGGATGCCTTCTTTTTCATTATTTCTGTCTATCTAAAGAGATTGTTGTTCTTCAAGGACACTGTTATCTTCACATCTAGCAATCAGTTTCACCAGCAGTTGACTGCCAAGTGGGGTTATGAAAAATCTCATAGTTCACACTCTCAAGTTAATGGCCACTATATTAAATTAAAACACATATCTAAAAACAGAACTGTTTAAACACTCAGGTCTTCTTAGACTGTTTTAATCAAAACTCCTAAAAGCCTGAGTATTTATTTATTGTTTTAGTTCTGTTCTCTTTTTAAGATTAATTTCTGTTGGAGATAAGATATGTAGTATTATAGTATTAGTTTCCACTTGCCTAATGTCCTGTAACTTCATAGTTTCTGTATTCATCTCACCTTTCATATAATGAGTATACATGCCTATAGAGTTTATTAGGAACCAAGAATGTGTGAATAGAAGGTAGCATTCCTGTCTTTAGAGAGCTGTCATTTCAGAAATGAAGACAAACATGAATCTGAATCTAAATACTTTTAGGAAACAATAGTAAAAGTTAGGACATTGAAACAAAGAAAAAGTACTAAGGACTAATAAGAAGTTTCTCTGAGATAGGAATTTGACTAATTTTGAGATTAATTGGAATTTTCTAGGCATATTAAGAAAATGAGTAGTGTAGCAAAAAGTTTGGGTATCGAGGGAGTGAAGCTGGACATGATATTCTGTAGTACTGAGTGCAAAAATTTACATATATACAACATTGGATGAAAGGAAAGAAAACATGATTCAGGGCTACCTGCTCTTAGTTAACACCTGCTCTTGGTTGTCACAAATTGCATCACTAATATGGGCATGGATAAATGCTAGTCAGATATCTGTAATCTATGAAATTCGTAACAACAGTGCAAGTTGGACATGACTGTTTTACAAATGAGAAAGATGAGAATCAATGAAAGATGAGAATCAATAAAATCAACTCATAACAGCAGTGCAAGTTAGATATGAGTGTTTTACAAATGAGAAAGATGAGAATCAATAAAATTACAACATTAGGCCAAATCAAATTCCTGTGAATAGAAGTCAACCACAAGTCTACTTGACTCCAAAACCTATGTCTTTCCCACTAAGCATTGTTGCTGTATCTGAAAAATTAGGAAAAATTTCCAAAGAATTGAAAACAGTAAATATTCAAGAAATACTTATTGTGCTCCTACTTTGTGCCATAGATACTCTTTTAGGCACTAGGAAAGTAACAGCACACAAAGCAGGCTAGACCCTGGTTTCTCAGGGCTGCCTTTGACTTTTCAGGGTAGACAGGTGATGAAGGAGCTTGGCACACATGCTCTCCCCACGAATGTTGGGGTAGGATCTGAGAATACATAATGGAGCTCCGAAATGCTGTTTTTCCTCACTGCTGACTACTGTTCTTTCCTAACTTCTCTCTCTATACTTAGTCTACACTACTTTCTCCTCTAAATTATGTCATTGTGTTGCTAGTGACAGGATCGAGTCCATAGGCTTAAATCCATTTGCTTACTGCTGGCCAATCAAAGGAGGACATTTATACTGGTGAAAATCAAAAAGTATTTACTCAAAGCTAGTGCTGTGGAGAAGGAGGGGCCTCATTTGCCCCAAATCAATGCCTCACTGTGAACAGGTGTGTTAGGGTCTTTTATAGCAAGGAACAGTTGGGGAGGGAATACAGTGAGACATTAGACATGCCCAGGCTTGTTTGATTCCTTTCTGAACCCCAACTTTTTCCTTCCTTCCCTGTGCAAACGAAAGAAGACTTTGACGTCCTAGTGCCAGCATCTGCATATTCTGTCCATTCATCTGGGCTCAGGAAAGGTGAATGTGTGTTTATCCCCTAGCTCTGATGACAAAACTTGTCTCTAGAAAGAAGAAACCTAATAAAGTTCCATTTTGCCATGCCAGTTACAACTGCCCTCTACCTGGTCTTCATATCTGAAACTGCACTCTGTCAAACTATCATTTGAACTCCTGCCTTTTGAATTTTCCTACACCACCTTTCATATTTTTGCCCCTTGTTAACTAACTTTCAGATTGATTTATAAAGGCCCGTTGTTTGATATTCCTCCTACTTATGTGGGCTGATTTTGTCTTTTTCTTTTATTACAAACTGGACACAAGCTAGAAGCCTCTGTTTCATCAACCCTTCCACTCAACACTCCTTTTTACCTTAGCTTGATTGTTCAGAAGTTGTTCTCTCAAACATGTACTTATCCAGTCCTTCACTGCTCAGCATCTGCGAGATGTCTGTCCCATCCTCTGCTTCTTCGGCTCCAAATCATTTTAGTGATTTCTATACCTATGCTATGAATCTCTGTCTTCTCTAATTATTTCACATTGTAGGGCATTTCTTAACTAGATGATAAACTCCCTCAGGCCAGGAATAGGTTCTTGTGGGCTTTACAGTACCCAGGGCTAGTGAATAGAGAACTCAGTATAACATATCATCAGACTATAGAAAGTAAGATGTCTATAGTTGATAATCAAATGAAATTACTGAAACCAGTTCATTCTAGTAAATTCTTATTCCTTGCCAAAAGATTTCAGTGAGTATTATTTGCTTAAATTCTATATATATGATTTTTTAAGCAAAAGAGAAATTTTAGGTATAAGCAAAAGTTAGTATCTTTAAGTAGTTTTATTTTCTTACTAGGAAGAACCATTTCTATAATAGGAGTTGCAGCTTGATTATTTTTGGTAGCTAGTTTCCCTTCGGATGATTTGATTTACATTGAGTTTTTCGGGTATCCATTTATTTACAGAGAGTTTACCTGGATATGTTTCTATTGGGTAAAGGATATTTGAAGGGATAAATATGCATAAGAAAGTTAAATCTTGTAGCTTCATAGTCTTTGAGGAATGTAAACCACCTAAAGAAAGGAAATCAAAAATCAAAACAAAATACCAAGGGATGGAGAAACAATATAGTATCAAAGGAGGCTTTGTTCTTCCTTGGAAAAAGTGATTTTAGGACTACTGCCTGAACAGTATGAACTGTTGTGACTGAATTGAGAGCAGTAAGATCTTGATTGTGCAAATGATTACTGTCAATACCACAACATAAAAGCATTGACAGTTTTGGTCATTTTATAAAGTGAAGGAAAGCAGAAGGCAGAATGAGCAAAGGTTATACAGAATATAATTCATACACAATATTTTGGTATTTATGAAAGGTTACAGTTGTAAACTATGTTCTTTTGAAGCTAGGAATAAGGGAAAAACATTTTATTCAGCATCTGAATTTCTTTTAATGCAAGAAAGGTGGCATGTTTTTGGTATTATTGACCAATTCTTTAAATCAAGAAGAATAAGCAAAGGCCAGATTTTTACACTTCAAGTTAGTCAGAAAGGGCAAAGCTATCATAGTGAGCACTCAAAGAGGTATAGAGTAAGTGTCTCACCTGCAAATATAGAAGAGCAGGCTCATGGCTCTGCGAAATGAAACCATTTCATCATGTACCAAAAATCTCAAGCCAAAGCAGATATTAATATCAATTTTGTTTCTGGTCATTCATCACAAAACTATTTATTTTGAAGTGAGACCATCCTCAATGGT